CTGCCGAGGGCCGTGCGCCGCGAGCCCCAGCCTTCTCGCGGCTCTTCCCCGTCCGCCCTGGCGCGGCGGGGTCCGGGTGTGGACCGCTTCCCCCTCTCCGGCCGCGATGGTGCGGCCCACTCCTCCGCGGCTCCCCCGCCCGCGGGAGCTTTGCGAAAGTCCCGGAGTTGGCGAGTTGGGCGCTAACTGATGCGGGCTGGACAGCCGTGCGTCTTCGCGCGCTGGGACGCGCGGGGGATCCCAAAGCCCCGCCCGGCAACCTCTTGCTCTGGACTCCGGTCAACAGTTTGAGAGCTCCTCGGGGATTTGCAATTAGTGCTGGAGCCCGGCTGGACGTTCACGCGCCTGCAGTCCCCGGGGCTGTGGCTTCCCGCCCCTGTCAGCTCGGCTCCAAAGACATGCGGACCTAATGCGACCCTCCGGACACTGTATTCCCAGGCGTGAAATGAGGCCACAGATGTGCTCCACGCGCACTGTTCTGCCCGCGGGCCTCGTTCTCTTCATTTCGGAGTTTCTGGCGTTAGGTGTGAACGCCTTCTGTGAATTGTACAGTGCTGTGTGCCCGCCCGCCTGTTGTCCCTGCAAACCGACGAGGAGGTGACTGGAGCCTCTCTGCAGGACCTTTTCTCGCACAAGTCCAACCTCCTTGGGAATTGGTCCCATGTGTGCCTCTGGGCACTTAGCTTACGGAGCTCATTCTTGAAACCTGTTGTTGGTTTGTCTCTAGGTAGCTAGCTATTTAGCAAACCATTAGCGAACGCCCACTGTGTATCAGTCACTGTGTCAGGCATCGGGATAAAATAAAAACAGACTCGATCCCTGATGTCTGGGAGCTGAAACATTAAACACGTATTCTCATTAGACGAGGGAATGTGTCTGTAACCGTGGTGAGGGCTTTGGAGACGGCGCTACAGAGGGCCACGGAGCTGGAGGGTGGCGCCTCAATGCTCTTCATGTAATTGTTTCCTCTCTAGTGCTGAGGGACGAAGTGCCCTCTTGGTTGCCTTCCTCTGCCACCCCTAAGTGAGTCTTCTTGATTCTCTCCATCTCCAGCCCAGCCAATGACACCCCTCACTCCACCCCATGCCTAGCTGCCCCCAGCTTTGGACCAGCGTCCTAAGGCCTCTTGCCTTCCAGTTCTTCCAGTTCCAGGCAGAGCAATGGAGATTGTTTTCTGAAATCAAAGCTCATAGATCTTGACATCTACTGAAACCTATAAAGCTCCTATTACTTAGGCTCTAGAGTCCACACACCTCACTGCGACCTGCGGGGCTAATCAAACATTTTCTCTTCTTTTCCTCGCCTGGTTGCTGGCCGTTTTCCTCCACCGCATACTTGTTTCGACCCAGAAAGCCCTTTCCTCTTCCTCATCTACGTTGGTGGAAATCTTGTTCATCCTTCCATGTCTAGTTGCACTGCCACCTCCTGCATGAAGTCCTCCAAAACTCCTGGGGGGTGCGGGGGAGCTGTTGTCTTTCTTTGTGATTTCTGTCGCAGTAATGCTTTCCTTTTATTGACTGCTTACTTTATGTCAGGCACCATGTTAAAACTTCTTTTAATATTCAGAGTTACCCTGTGAGGTAAATGCTTTTCTTATAGTCATTTGCAGATGAGACTCAGATTAAATTAAGTGGAAGCCAGAATGATCCTGTTTTAACAAGGGTCAGATAGCTTCGTCTCTCTGCTCAAATCTCTCCAGTGGCTTCCCACCTCCCACTGGATTTCTATAAAGAACTACAAGATCCTACAGCCCTCACCCTTTACTTTCTTTATTATTCCCCAGCCCATTGGCCTTGCTGTTCATCAGAGCATACCAAACACATTCTTGCCTCCAGGCCTTTGCACTTGCTAGTACCTTTGCCTAGATGGCCCACTCTGCTATCCCTAGATCCTAGCCCTACGCCTTTTTAAAAATGTATTTTTTATTGTGGCAAAATATACATAAAATTTACCATTTTAACCACTCAGTGACATTAAGCATGTTCACGTTGTTGTGCAACCGTCACCACTATCCATCTCCAGAACTTTATTATCCCAAACTGAAACTCTGTACCCATTAACACTAAGTCACTATTCTCACCCCCCCGCAAACCCTGGCAACCATCATTCTACTTTCTGTCTATGAATTTGAGCATTCTAGGTACGCTGTATAAGTGGAATCATACAATTGTTCTTTTGTGTTTGGCTTATTTCGCTTAGCATAATGTTTTCAAGATTCATCTACATTGTAGCATGTATCAAAATTTTATCCTTTTTGAAGATTGAATAGTATTCCTTTGTATGAATACACCATATTTTATTTATTTATTCATCCTTCCATGGACATTTGGATTATTTCCACCTTTTGGCTATTGTGAATAATGCTATAAATTGCTCTATTTTTTAATATTGCAGTTGATATACAGTATTTATGTAACTGAATTTCCATCCGCTCTCTTTGACAACAGTGGAAGTTCCTAGAGGGAAAGATAATGTTGCAGAATTCTTTTATGTGCCTCCACAGCAGAAGCACAATGCTTGAAACAGAGTGGCTAGGGTGATCCTTTCATAAACGAGGCTAACTCTGCTCCTGGGATCTCACCTGTGACCTCCCTCTGTGTTAGAATACTCTGTGAGAATCCTTGACATAGCCGTGAGGCTCCCACATGATCTGACTGGACTTCTAGATTTTGCCTTCTTACCTTCCCTTCCTGTTACACTGGTCTTCTTGCTTTATTCCTCAAATGAACCAAGACAATGATGACCTCAGGGCCTTTGCCGATTTACTGTGCCATTGTCTAGAAATTTCTTCCTCTAAACCTTTGCTTCGTTCTTGCCTATCTTGCTGGAACCAAATCAAATATGTCCTGCCTCAGAGAGAGCTTCCCCGACCAGCTGATCTTAAATATCAAAGAGCGCCCCCATTACCACCATTTGCTTGATTTTTCTTCAGAACAGGTATCATTTGGGGTTTCCTCCTCCAGATTGTGAGTTCCAAGCGAGGAGGAACTTTGTACGTTTTTGTCCTGTACAGTATGTCCTGTCTCTGCTAGCACATACTTCCCTTTTTTTGGGAATCAGAAAATCGGTGCTCCTTCCAGGCAGAGGAAGTTTAAAAGAGCGTGCCCCTTTCTCCAGGCCAAAGCAGCGGGAGCTGAGCCAGGGCATATGGGTTTCAGCTCCTACTCCTGCTCAACTACAGGAAACTAAACTGTGGCCTCTTCCAGGCCTGGAACACAATAGATGCTCAGTAATTACTGATTGAGTGAAGTATAGCAACTGAGGTCACGCACATGAAAATCTTCAGTGTCTGTCCTCCCTATCTCTTCTTTCAACTCTCTAGAGGATTCTGTGCAAAAGTGGACTTGAGTGTTTTCTTGCCTTACTCAGTGACTTGTTAATCAAAGCTACACACCAGCCTGGTCAACCCTTAATGGAAACCCTAACCCATGAACCCAACTTTAATGTCAGGACTCTTTGGGGGATGCAAGCGAGAGGAAATTCCTGGGGCTTTATCCCACTCATTGAGATAATACCATTTGAGACATGCAGGCAGCCCATTAGCTCTGGCTGTCTTTCTGGGAAAACTGATCTGGTTATCCATTGAATTAAACAAGAGGTGTTACTCTCAGACTGAGCTGTCTTAGGCTTATTGTGAGCATTAAATGAGATAATGTGCATAAAGGGCTTGCCACAGACACTGGCCTAATGAAACTAGTAACTGTGGCCAAAAAATAGTCCAACACCGATAAAATCGCTGAAAAGGGATGAAAAGGATTTCAGCTACATGGCAAAAACCTTCAGCTGTGGCCTGGGCCTCTCCAATCTCATCTCCTATGACCCTCCTTTCACTCACTCCAAACCACCAAGCACCTTCCTGGTCCTTGACCTCACTACGTTCATTCCAGCCCCAAGCCCTATGAATTAGCCTTTGTCTCAGCCAGGAATGCAGTTTCCCCCACTCTTCCCCCATTTTTGCTCCCTCTTGGCCTTCAGATCTCAGCTTAAATGTCATCATCTCAATGAGACCCTCTCTGACTACCCACCTGAAGTGCTTTTTCATAGTTTACATCTTGCTATGTTTTCTTCATATTGCATATCTCTCTTGGCCATAATCTTATGTATTTGCTTATTTACTTGTTTTTGTGGCACACATTTGATGAATGATGAGTAACTCTTGTCTTCCTCCATCTCCTCCTCCTCCTTTTCCTCCTCTTCCTCCTCCTCCTCCTCTTCTTCCTCTTCCTCCTCCTCCTCACAATGAGCTGTTTATCCTCTCTCTCACTCTTAGTTTTCCCTCTTGTCATCAGGTATATCTTTCTGTATTCTCTGAGATATACTTCAGTGAGAAGGGTCAGCTAGAAGAGAGGTGACAGGTGCAGGCCTTTAGCCTTCCTGATGAGGTTATGAAAACCTTTCCTACTAGAGGTCTTCATCTTAGCTTTCTTAGATTCCTTTGTAGCTGACCTGATTTGTCAAGGGCTATACCCTCAGGCTGGTTTGACATAGCCCAGAGCCAAGACAGTGTGAAAGTGGAATGGATCAGCAAGGCAGGAGGTGTTGGTTTGTGTGTCAGTCTACTTTTAACACTCTTTAATCCTGGCCAAGTCCTTAGCTGTTCTCAGCCTCAAGTTCCTCATCTGTGAAATGGGGATAACTGTGATGCTATAATGATATAATTTCCAGGGTGGTGAGAGAGATGCTTGACCCTAAGCAAAGCCTGAGAAGCTACGGGCGTCAGATTTCTGTGTTTGCTGCAAGCTTTAAGTCTCTT